CTGGTTCTCAGGCTGGCTTGTTTGAGTGGAAATCCTCACCTGGGGTGCAGGGGGCAGGGCTTGGTGTAAGTGGATCTTGCCCCCACTAGGTGGCACTGTCTTGCTCCCTGTAGGCGCTCTTCCTTGATGGGTGGGATGAACATCACTGTGCCCACCTTCTAGCCCCGAGGTGAAAGTTTGCACCCCCCACTCTTCAGGGAACCTCAAAGAAGAGCAATCAATCGCCCCTCTTGTGTCCCCGGTTTCCATCAAAACCCCAAGTTCACCCAGCTTGTGTTCAAGCTTTTTTTTTTATCTCAGGCGCAACACTGAGTTTCAAAACTCCACATTGTAGGGATTCCTGTGGCATGGACGAGCACTGCTCCTCTGGGGGAGGGTCTTGCCATGCTTTTGCTGCCCGCTTAGGAAAGAAGTTGCACAACTGCACAGCAGTTCAGAGCTTATATCAAAACAGAGCAGAAAGCTGGTACCCGAGTCTGACTCCTATGCCTGGGAACAGTGCAGCACATTGGTGTCACGTGTTCTTCTTGCGACCCAGGAGACCCTCGGACCACGTTGTCATTCCTGGGATTCCGCCCTGGCACCTGAGCACTTTTAGGCCAGGCTCATACCTCACGGTAGCAGACTTCAAAAAGTTCTGCTGCTTATACTACTTAGCAGTAGCCTCTGAGTGCAGCCCCTCCCCCTCTGCTGTATCTGCAGCTATGTCTCTCCCAAGTCAACTCTCTCCTCCTCCTACCTTCCAGAAGGTGGTCGCTTTTCTACTTGTAGTCTTACGGTTTTTGTTCTCTCAGACCTCCCATTGATTTCTGGGATGTTCAGGATGATTTGGTAACTATGCAGCTGTGTTTGAGGGACCAGACAAGCTTGGGTCTCCCTACTCCTCCTCTATCTTAACTCTCCCTCCTCACAGTCTTTCCCTTTTTCACCCTCAGCCCCTGGTAACAACTGATAGTTTTTCTCCCTGTGGCTTCTTTTCCACGTATGTAAATGCAATCTACAGCATATGACCTTTGAGCCTGGCTTCTTTCATTAAACCTAATGCATTTGAAATTTATCCATGCTATTCTAATTTTCTGTAACTCCTTCCTTTTCATTGCTGAGTAGTACTCATTGTATGGAGGCATTGTAGAACTCTTCAGAATACTTCTTCATATTCCTAGGTGACTGTAGTTTATTTAAATCTATCCACACATTTCAAACTTTTTAACACATGTTGGTAATCCCCTTTGTCAATCAAATTAGCTTATGATGCTGACTACTCATTTTTTTAAAAAAGTTTTATCTTTTTGTTCAGACTTTCAAAAATATTAAGTAAGCCCTACCGTATGCCAAACATTTTTCTAGGTGTTGAAGATACAATGCTTAAAATAAATACAAAGTGACAAAAACAAAAAGCACATATTGCCTGTGGACTTTCCTTGGTAAGGAGGTAGAGATAAAAATATATGTGTAATATAATGTCAGGTATTAATTGAAGTTTTAAAAGTATTTTTAAACAATTGATGGAGATTTCATATTATCAAGAAATTCACTTATAAATTTAATGCAGTCCCTGTGGAAATCCCAGCAGACTTTTTGGGGGGTGGAAATTGACCAGGTGATTCTACAATTTATATGGAAATGCTAAGGGCCTAAAACAGCCTAAATAGTTTGGAAAAATAATAAAGCTGGAAAACTTGCCCTACTTAGTTCAAAATTTGCTATAATGCATGTTAATCTAGACAGTGGAATTCTGGCATGAGAGTGTGCATCTACGACAAGGGCACAGCATTGAAAGTCCAGAAATAAAATTTTATTTTTTACTATGAATTGATTTTCGACAAAGGCTCCAAGACAATTCAGTGGGGAAAAGATCATCTTTTTCTTTGGTGCTGGGACAGATGGATAGCCACATGAAAATCCAAAAATCAAACAAACAAAAAAACTTACATCACAGTAGACAACAATGAACTAAAAATTGATCCAAACGTAAGAACCAACCCTTAAAGTTTCTCAAGGAAAACAGTAGAAAACTTTCATGATCTCTTAAGTATGGCACCGAAAGCACGATCCATACAAAAAAACCTGAACTTCTTAGAAGTCATCAAAATTAAAATATTTTGCTCTTCAAAAGCCACTGTTGAAAGAATGAAAGACAAGCCGGAGACTTGGAGAAAATATTTACACATTGCACATCTGGTAAAGAACATAGATACAACGAGGTAAAAAGACAAACATTTTTTGAAACAGGCAAAAGATTTGAATGGACATTTTTACTAAAGAAAATACAAGAGTGGCAATGGAGCACATGAAAACACATTCAACATCATTAGTCATTAGGGAAAAGTGGATTGAAGCCACAGTAAGTCAGCACTTCACACCATTAGGAGGACTATAATAAAAAAAAGACACGTGTTGGCAAGCATGTAGAATCAAGTGTAAGCGTCCTCCACCATGGCAAGAATGTAAAATGGTACAGACTCTTTGGAAAGCAGTTTGTCAGCTTAGAAAATCTTAAAGCTAAACTTAAGTATGACCCAGCACTTTCATTCTTGTCCTAGGAATCCACCCCCTAAAATGAAAACAGATGTCCGCACGAAGACCAGAACATGAATATTCATAGCAGTGTTATTTGTAACTGCCCCAAACTGCAGAGGATCCAAATGTCCATCAACTGGTAAATGGATAATCACAATGTGGTACAACCATTCCACGGAAGGAAAAGGAACAGAATACCAATATGTACCACAGCATGGATGAACTCCAAAACCAATGTGCTAATGTTACTGGACAGAACCGGTTCTGACCTCAGGCTCTGCTGCTCTCTGCTCGAAAATCAACACTTGAGAGAGGAGTGATGGCGGGAAAAGAGAGGTCGCTTTACTCAGGAAGCCGGCAACCTGGGAAGAGGGCAGGCTAATATCTCCAAGGCCATCTTCCCCGTCCAGGCGAAGCGGGTGGGTTTTTAAGGGGAAAGTGTGGGGAATGGGGAGGGGGCTGCGTGCAGGAGAAGCGGTGCCCAGGCGGTGGGTTCTGTGTCGCCGTGACCCTGGATGGACCTGCTGGCATCCGTGGCAGGTGTTTTCAAGTGTGGTCAGGCCGTATCGTCCTTCCCCCTCAAGGTCAGTGGTCTGCAAACCCAAGACAAGTAGGTTGGTTCTGCCGCAGACCAAGGACTCAGATCAGCCAACAGGAGCACCTGAGCTCGAGGCCAGCTCCCTGTGAAGGCCGGTGGGAGTGCTGTCACACTAAGCGAAAAAGCCAGATTGAAAGACAACATAGTATGTGATTCCATTTATATGATATGTCCAGAAAACATAAATTTAGAGGGACAAAAAGCCCATAGGTGGCTATGTAGAGCCAGCAATGAGAGAACATTAGCTGCAAATCTGGTGATTGCTTCACAATTCTCAAAGTTGACTGAAAATCATTCAATTGTCCCTTGTAATGTATGAACTTTATGGTATATAAACTATGTCCCCATAAAGCTGTTTAAAAAGTAAGAAATCTTGTAGTTATGTAATTTAGTGTTTCTATGGTTTAAATTCACCCTATGCAGGGCGCCTGGGTGGCTCAGTCGGTTAAGCGTCCAACTTCAGCTCAGGTCATGATCTTGTGGCTTGTGAGTCCGAGCCCCACGTCGGGCTCTGTGCTGACAGCTCAGAGCCTGGAACCTGCTTCTGATTCTGTCTCCCTCTCTCTCTGCTCCTCCCCTGTTCTCTCTCTCTCTCTCTGACTCAAAATTAATAAACATTAAAAACATTTTTTTTTAATTCACCCTATGCAGTCCTCAGTCTCTTACTGGCTCCTTTTTCTTTTTTGGCTCTTTTCTGTGTTTTGGTCTCTGATTTTGTTCTATATGTTTTTTTCAACTATTTTATCCTCTCCCATAGACTCAACTATCACCTCAAACCTCACAGTACTCTCTATCTCCAACCCCAAGGCACTTCCCCAAATCCTAAATTGGTACTTCCAAATGCCTCTTGAACGAATCCAACTGTATATTCCACAGACACTCCGATCTTAACTCATTTAATATGGTCTTCATCATCACCTCACCTTCTCCATCAATCCTATATTCCCTTTTATAAAATTCATGAATTATTCTTCTAGTCTCTATATGAAATATAGATTCTTCCTAACACCAGTTTAGGTAAACTGTGGTGTAGTTTGGGTAAGAACCCAAAAGGTGACTTTTTAAAATTTATTCAAGTATAATTTCTTAGCCAGTAATTAAAGCTGGGTGCCCCTTGGCTTCTGTTTTCATTAAATAACAATAGTAGCTATTAAGCTGAATTTCAGTGTCTACGGTGTGCAGCTCTAATCCCCCTCCTCTCTTGCCCCTAGACTCAGTGGTGAATAAAATAATTTCCCTGTGCACACGGAAAGTAAGTGTGAGCTGATAGGATCTTACTCCGGATACCAACAAATGCAGGACACTCCATCCTGGAGTAGACGATAATAAGCGTGTCTGAAATTTGGATGTTTTCCTCACACGGTGGAGAAATCACTGATTAACCAAGGTGTATGGGTCTTTATCCATCCCAGAAAATGTTTGCAATTTGATGATTGAAAATGACACGCTGTAATGTTTCAACTCCCTTTTCTAGTTAACCAGTTAAATGAAGCATGTTTTCTTGCCTACAGATACTTTAAATTCCCTCTCCCATGAATTGCTTTCTCATACAGTTGCTATTTTGTATGTGGTGCCTACTGTCTTTTCTCTTGAATTCATAGGAGCCCTTGATTGCACTGAGGTCCCGCCCTCCTGGGACCAGCTGGGCAGGAGGCCAAGAGGGGTGGGGTCAGGACCAGATGTGGGGAGGAGTCCAGGCCTGAGTCAGGGCTCAGTGGGGTAGGGTCTGGGCAGGATTAGGGCCCAGGATTAGGAGGTGGGGGGGTGGGTGCGGACAGGGGCAGGGCAGGGCCTGGGATAGGAGCGGCCAGGGATTGGCTGGCCTGGGGTCAGGGTGGTGGGGGGGTCGGTCGGGTCAGGCTGGGGTCAGCGGCCCCCGGTCATGGGAGAGGAGGGGCCGACCCCCCGTGGGCGAAGCTGGCTGGCGGCCCTGCTCCGGCTGCTGCTGCTGCTAGCCACGGGCATACGAGGATCCTGGCCAGTGGTCGCCCGCGTCCCTGTTCCAGCTCCAGTGGAGGCAGCGACTGAGGAGCCCGGGCGGCAGGCGGGTGGCCAGCGGATTGGCTAGGAGCAAGGTGCTGGTTGGGGCAGGCAGGGGATGAGGCCAGCTCGGGAGGGGGCTGGGCGCATGCACACTTCTCTCTCGCTTCCGCCCCAAGCCCCACTGTGGACCCACCTGGAGCCGGGCGGGTGGCAGGGCCTGACCCTGGGATGGGGGGCTGGGGGGGGAGGACTGCTGAGTGAGGGGGCCCTCCTGGGCACACCCCTGCCCCTCCCCCGGTGTGAACCCCAGAACCGGGGCGTTCCTCACTAGACTGCTCCCTCTTCCTTAAGAAACAGCGTCCTGAGTCAGGGGAGTGGCCCTCCCGGGGTCACCCAGCACCACAGACTCCTTCCTGCCGTGAACCTCCCTCCCTGAGAGGCGGGGTGAGGTGGAGGGCACACAGGAAGCCCCCTGGAAGCATCACGGCCAGCAGGTCGGGCTAGGAACCCCCGACACCTTCAGTTCTTCCATCTGCAGAGTGGGCGAGGAGGCGGAGGCTGCCAGTTGAAGGGAACACTGGCCCAGCCCCCCGCAGGTGCATTCAGGGACATCTGTCTCCCTGGGGATGCTGCTGTGGCCTCTCTTGGTCCTCCGTGCCTGGCCTCACCAGACCCCTGGGCCCTCATCCTGACCACAGGGTTTGCCGGCCTGTGCTCGGCTCTACTGTCCTCGACAGCAGCTGATGAAGGCAGGGTCCGGGCGGCCCTGGCATTTTGGCCAGGCCCCTTGACCCTTGGCCTTGGTTTTTGCATCTGTGAAGCGGAGGAAGGCCTCTGTGGTAGCGTCACTTGGGGTCACCGGTGTCTCTATCGTAGACAGGGCAGGGGTGTGTCTCCACAGTGTGCGGGAGGCCCAAGGTGACGGGGAAGATCTACGGTGGCCAGGATGTGCTGGCCGGCCAGTGGCCTTGGCAGGCCAGCCTGCTGCACCAGCACACACACATCTGCGGAGCTGTCCTCATCGACTCCCTCTGGCTGGTGTCCACCGCCCACTGCTTTCTCAAGTGAGTCCCCCCTCCTGGGTGCCAGCAGAGGGGCCAGTGGGGCAGCGGGATGCAAGGGGAAGAGGAGAAAAGAGGTGATGGGTGTCCAATGCGCTGGGCTTTGCTCTGGAGCCGCGTGTAGCCTCCAGACACGCGTCATTCCTGCCTTTGACCGGTGTCCCCTCCACCTGCATGTGCTCCCCACTCACCCCCTCTGTCCTCAGCCCCTGTGCCTGTCCCCCAGCACAGATTGGCAGTGTCTGTCCTGGCTGCCACGCGGTGTGGGCAGGCGCTCTGCCTCCTCAGATCAGGGCTTGTCCTCCGTGTCCCCACACTCCTCGGTGGCAGACTGGAGGCAGGGACCTGGGACTACACACACAGCCGGCAGCCGGGTGATTTTTCTCATCATTTTTGCAGAACTGTGTGCTCAGGAGGAGGCGTGGCTGCCGGCACCCCATATGCCAGGCTGCCTGGGTGGGAGGTGGGCTCCTCGACCTTGGAGGGTGCCTGGCTCGGCACTCAGCTTCTGAATAGATGGGAAGGGGTCTCAAGGGTGCAGCTGGGCATCACAGCCCAGGCCAGGGAGCTAGAGTTCGGGCACTGACTGGCTTTAAGGGCCCAGAGCCCTGTCAGCACCTACCCTGTTCCACACGTTAGCCCCTCTGTGCCATGGCGGGGGGTGTCAGTCCAGCGCGGGTGAGACGGGAGGACCCCATGGACAAGAAGGGAGGTCAGGAGAGGTGCCAGCTGGCATGGGTGGAGCCAGAAGGGAAGGGTTTGGGCACCGAGCGGGGGTAGGACTTTCCACCAGATGCTGGCAGGGCCGGATGTTTCATCACTCACGTTCCGGGGACAAGGCTCCATTTCCTGCACTCGTCCGCTCATTTAACACATCTTTTGTGGATACTTACGAACAGGTGTGCACACAGCCCTCAGGCAGGAAGGTGTTTACAGGAAGAAGGGGCAGGAAAGATGTGGGGCCAAAGTTGGGCCGTGGGGAGCTTTGGGAAGGGTCAGGCCGGAGCTAGGCTTGAGCCAGGGTTCCTCTGTATAAGGTGGAAGGCCTTGATGCGAGGCCCCACCAAGGAGCCCTGAGCGCAAGGAGTCCCCACGCTTCCAATTCAAGATGTGACAGGGAAGCCACACGTCTCAGGTCGGGGACAGGAGATCAGGCAGCCCCAAGATGGTTGGGAAGAGGAGTCTCGCGCAGGCAGGGGCAGGTAGATGAGGGGCAGGGAGAGGGAGCTGACCCCGGGCTCGGAGACAGTGACGATGAGCTGTTCCCTGCCAGCAAATCCCAAGCCCCAGCAGACTACCAGGTTCTGTTGGGAAGCACACGGCTGTACCAGCACGGCCAGCACACCCGGGAGATGTCTGTGAGCCGGATCATCGTGCACCCAGACTTTGAGAAGCTTCACCCCTTCGGGAGTGACATAACCATGCTGCAGCTGCACGTGCCTGTGAACTTCACCTCCTACATCGCCCCCGCCTGCCTCCCGAGCCCCGGCATGCAGCTGTCCAGCAACTTGTCCTGCTGGATAACCGGCTGGGGGATGCTCAGCGAGGACCGTGAGGGCGTGTGGGAGAGGCGGGGAGGGGCGGGGGTGAGAGAGGGAGGAAAGACGGGAGGCCAGGTTCAGCCCTAGGGGCCCCCCTGGCAAGCGGGCACGGGACCTTGAGCCTCTGTGCCTCATTTCTAGAGGACTGGACCGTTTTAGTTCTAGTTCTGAAAAGCGTGTGATTCTAAAGCTTTGGAGTTCCTTAAGTCTGAGGGACTGTCCCAACCATAGGGCAACCTGGCCCCCAGCACTCTCTCTCTGTCTCTGTGTCTCTCTCTGTCTCTCACGCACGTGCACACACACGCAGGCACAGAGGCTGGTTCTTCCTTGAGGGCGAGGACCATGTCTGACTTGTTTTAACATCCCCCCACCCCCACCCCAGGCACCTGGCACGTGCTCCGCTATTGCCTCCCTGCTCTGACGGACCATCGCGTCTTGCCTGTGCCTCCAGACTGGTCTCCCAGCGCCCACCCTATGTGTCCTGTTTAGTGTCCACACAGCTGTCTGCTCACTTTAAATCGTGAATTGTGCCGCTTCCCTGCTCAGCTCCCTGCGTGCCCTCACAGCTGTTTGGACTGTTAGAACAAGTCCAGAATCCCTGCCTTGGCGGTCAGACGCTCCTGACCTTGGCCCCAGCCCTCCCTACATCTCCTGCACACCCCAAGTCAGCCACCAGGCTCCTTCCTGCCATCCTCACCCCAGGGCCTTTGCCACGACCGGCTTCTCCACCTGCCTCTCTGCCCACTGGTGTTTGCCTGCAGGGGGCCACCCTGTCTTTACATCGATGACTCGGCCCCTCCTCTGCGGAGTTCCGCTTGCCCACGTGAGCTGAGAGGGGTTCCTCCTCCTGTTTTGTTTCCTTCACACCGCTTATCACTTCTCAAACAATCCCGTCCACGTTCGTCACTCGCCCTGTGTCCCCAACAACAATGCCCCCTGTGTCAGTGGCGTCTACAGTATGCCCAGCATGAGGACAGACGAATGGAGGGGTGAGTGCTGGTGGCTGTGTGGGGCGGCGTGGCTGGGAGAGGAGTGGCTGGTGGCTGGTGGGTATTGACGGAGGGATGGAGGCAAGCATGAGAGGTGGGGTGGGTAGGCGGATGGGGGGAATCAGTGGATGGAAGGATGGGAGGAAGGGCAGTGACAGACGGGCGGACATGGTGTGTGACAGCGTAGGTGGGTGGGTCAGGGGTGGCCAAGGCCCTGAGAACGGCTGTGCTGGTGGGATTTGCCTTCTTCCTGTGCGGAGTGAGTGAGGTAGAGGGAATGGATGAGTGCGTGAACCGTTCAGGAAGCAGGAGAGGAGCCTGTTAGGGACGGACGGAAGACCGCAGCCGTGTTCGAGGCGCATCTGTGTTGAGCAAACCGCGTGTTTCGTGGTGGCCGGGGCTTCCCCACAGCGCACGCCACAGGTCCCCTTCCTATTCACACAGAACATCTGCACTCGCCCTTCCATCTCCAGGAGGGTAAGGTGAGCCTCATTGAGAACAAGTTCTGTAACATCTTATACAGACGAAAACTTAGCAACAGCAAGACCTACTCAGTGCAGGAGGAGATGCTGTGTGCTGGTGATTTCTCGACAGGGAAGGCCACCTGCCACGTGAGTTTCTGTTCTTCCCTTGCCTGTTTGCCTCAGTTTCCCCAGCGGGCCTGTGTTGCTTCTGCTCTGTGGAGACCTGTGGGCCTTCCTGTCTCCCCGTCCCCAGCAGTGTCCCCTGGCTCACCCCTTCCTAAGCCACATGAGGGCATCTGCTGGCAGGACCTCCAAACAGCATCTGTTGTTAGCACATTTCAAGCTTTTCGCTGCAGTGTAACACGCATACAGAGGCATATATGATTGCTAAGAGCAGCAGGTGAATCTTCATATCCTGACACGTGTGACCGGCTCCCCACCGCCCAACCCACTCTAACACCCGAGGGGGCCCCAGCCGCCACCTCTAACGCCTCACGATAGCTTCTGACCCCTCCCTCCGTGGGGCTCATTTCCAGCCGGCAGCCGGTGTCTCGGCACTCCGTGTGTGCGTTTCCTCCGCCCTGTCTGCGCTCAGGGCGCGTTCCGTCGTGTGCATTCAGTCCTGTTGTTGGTTCCGCTGTCAAGGAGTATTTTGGGAGCTTTCGACTTTTCCATTTCATTCACTTCCAAGTGTCTCATCCGCTTTATATCCTCTTTACATTCACAGCAGCCCACGAGTAGAATCGTTGGATTATGTGGAGACCCAGCTTTGGCAGATGTTAGGGGACGTGGTGCCCCCGCCCCCACCACTTTGAGCAGCGGATGAGTTTATATTCTTGCCAATACTTAGCGCTCTCTGTCTTTGCTCATTTTGGTGTGTGTGCATCGTGGTATCTCACTGTGATTTAATTTGTGTTTTCCAGATGACGGATTAAGTTAAATAAATTGTCCCGTACTTGTTGTCGCCAGATATCTTCTTCAGTAAAGTTTCCCTTCTGGTTTTACCCCCGTCACTTTTCTGTTGGGCTGTCTGTCTTTTTATTTCAGGAGCTCCTTATAATTTTGTATATTCTGGGTGTGTGTCTGCCATTGGGCACAACCCAGTGGATTGTGAAGATTTCTTTCCACTCTCTGCGATGCCCCATCCTGCAGGTGGGCAAGCAGGCCCAGAGAGGGAAAGTGACCAGCCCTACATAAGGCAGCCCACGCCTGCTCTGCCAGCATCCTGACTCCAAGCCCACCCAGCCTCCAAGCACACTGTCAGGCCCCAGCCTTAAGAGCTGATGTCTGTGCACCTGCCTCCTGCATGGAAGGCACCGAGGAGTGGGGGGAGGGGGGGTCTGGAGTCAGAGACACGGCTCTGCCATGTGTCCCTGCCCTGGGACCTCGGGTGGCACCTTTGAGCCTGCATGGGATTCTGAGGCCTCCTCCATGGGGTTGTTGAAAGGATGCTATAGTGGTCTGAGTGCTGTCCCCCAAATTCACGTCCATTTGGAACCTTAGAATGTAACCTTACTGGGAACTGTGTAGGGTCTTTGCAGATGTGATTAGAGTCTCAAGATGAGACCATTCTGGATTTGGAGGGACCCCAAATCCCAAGTCCTGGTGTTGCTAAAAGATCTAGGGAAAGGCACAGAGACACCTGTTCTCAGACTCTGACTCCAGAACTTTGAGGGTAAGTGTCCGCTGTGGTCATGGGTGATGGCAGCCCGAGGAAACGTGGGCAGGAGGCATGAGGTGGGCCTGCCGTGGGGAGGCCTCACCGACAGTTGCTCTCATTACTGTCCGGGGAGCTGCTGAGTCACAGCAGGAAGCTCAGCCATCCACCTCCTGGTAGGACGTAGGCCTGGTTTCTTGGTTCCCAGGCCACAGATGATGGTCTGGACTTTCTGACCCAACCTCCTCACAGGGCTCAGCCCCTGAGTGCCCACATGGTTGTCACCAAAGATCTCCCTTCCAGCCTTGCCCCCCACCTGCCTTCTCCTGTGGAGTTTAGAGCCGATGCCCTTTGTCGGCCTGCCTGCTGGACATCCATGGTGCCCTTGACCCCACTCCCCCTCTGGGGACCCCCAGGCTGAGGACACCACGGAGCTGGACACCCGGTAGTCTTCCAACCACCATAGCCTGTCCATGACATTCCATCTGGTCCAGTGTGGGCACGGGAAACAGCTCTAGGGAGCAGGGGACACTGCAGAATGTCTCAGGACTCAGATTGTGGGGCAGGTGGACCTGCTCTGGTCTCTGTCTGTCACTTATCGGTGCTGTGACCACAGCCAATTTCCTCACTCATGAAGTGGGGGGTGCTACCAGCCTCCCCTTCATAAGCCTTCTGTAGGGAATTCAGTGCGGTGTCTGGTCTGTGCTAACAAGTGTTGGCCTTCGTTCTCCTGCTGGGTCTGCCTCCCCTGATCGGGGCTCTGCTTGTTCCTCTGGGCCACCAGCCCTTCCTGGGGTGCAGGGGCAGAGGGCAGAGTCCACGTGATGACGGATTTAGATCTGTGGTTGTCCTCAGGTCAGTTGGGAGCATCCTGAAGTGCATTTCCAAGGCCCACCCATGTCACCTTGATGTGTCCATAGCTCAATGCTGGTCTGGACTTTCATAGACTCATGGGCACCCCCTGCCACCTAGTGTTCTTAGACCCTGCTCAGTCACCTGCACTAACTCCCCTCTCTTTCCTAGGGCGATTCCGGGGGGCCTCTCGTCTGCAACCTCCTCAGTGCCTGGGTTCTGGTGGGGCTGGCCAGCTGGGGCTTGGACTGCCGGCACCCTATCTACCCCAGCGTCTTCACCAGGGTTGACTACTTCGCCGACTGGATCGACAAGATCCAGAGGCTCACACCTCCCCCTGATCCCACGTCTGCTCCTCAGACGCAGTTTCCAGATCAGCCTTGGCAGACTGCTGGCTCGTCCGGGCACAGCACAACCTTCATGTCTCCCCAGACCTGGTTCCTGCTGCTGTTCATGCTCAGGGGCCCGCAGCAGGCCCTGTGGTGACCCTCCGAGCCCCTCTGTCCTGCTCTCTGCCTCAGGCCCCAGTCTGCTCGCTGGAACCTTCCACACCTCCCCTTCCCCAGCCCCACTGGCTCTCAGTGGTTCCTTCTCCTGGACTCTCCTGTCCATCAGCTGCCATCCCCCAAGCCAAGCCTGAAACAAAACAAAACAAAAGCAAATAAAAGACTCATCTCACTCCTGTCTTGGGACCCCACTGCCCCTCCTTCCCTTGAGGTAAGTCAGCTGGCTCCCTGTGCAAGGAAAAGGGACTCATCAGGGAGACTGTCCCAGGAGGGAGCCAGGGCTGCCAGCTGGGAAGAGAGCAGACCATCTCCACTCAGACCCTGCTCCTGCCTCAGGGACCATGCAGGCCTTCAGAGGAAGTGTGTCAGTCAGCACAGGCTGCATAACAAACATCAGAGCCCAGGCAGCTTCAACAGCAGGAATTTATCATCTCCCAGTCCTGGAGGCTGCAAGTCTAAGATCCAGGTGTGGGCAGGGCAGGTTTCCCCTGAGGCCTCTCTCCTGCCATGTAGATGCTGTCTTCCCTCTGTGTTCTCATGGGGTCATCACTCTTTGTGTGTCTGTGTCCTGATCTCCTCTTCTTCACAGGGACACTGGTCATTTGGGATTAGGGCCAACCTAGTGGCCTCATGTTAATCACCTCTGTGAAGATCTTATCTCCAAATGAGCCACATTCTGAGGCACTGGGAGTTAGGTCTCCAATATATAAATTTGGGGGAACACAATTCAACCCAAATTCGAAGTAAGACATTTCACTAGATGTCTACACTGCAAGGGAACAAGAGTTTCCCCAAAGTAGAGAAACACCATTCAAGAGGTTTGGAGGAGGGAAGACAGACTCCCCATGGAGGTGGACAAAAGTTCCCAGAGTGCAGGGTGACTGAGTTGGACTGGGGTGCATGACCCAGGCCATACTGTGGCCACCAGTATAGAGGGCTCTCAGACATGGAGGGTCTATGAGAGTGAGTCAGAAGCAGAAGAGGCCGCATGCCAGGCTGAGAGTCAAAGTTCAGGCCGGCAGTCCTCAGACCTGTGTTCCTAGAGCTGACTGCCAACACCTTCCTCACCTGTCCTCACAGCCCCACTCTCCCCAGTCTGAAGGGGCCCAAGTCCAGTGAAACTGCTCCCTGCTTCCCACAAGCCAGTCTGCCTGAGGTGTCCACACACCTTCAGCAGCTGGCTCCTGGTGTCACCTTTTATGCTTAGCTGACCCAGGACATAGTGGCCTGGCAATATGCCTTGAAGCAATGTTCCAGGGCATCCTTCCTGGCAGTGTGCCTGACAAAGGCCCTTGTGCAGCCAGCGTGGCCCCAGCCGCACAATGCACCCACTCCAGCCCCCAGACCCACAATAAGGTGGGAAAGCTCCTATCTGATGCATGTCCAGTACAGACCAAGTGGCATTTGGAGGGTTCAGTGCAAATTCTTTCCAATTCTGGCATTGCTTAAATACCCTGGATCCTTGTTGGCAGGTGGGCACAAGTGGACTCACATGCCTATTAACCCTGGGCTCTCACTGATGCAGGAGGCCCCTTCCAGGATGATCTTTGGAGGCTTCAGGAAAGTGTCTTCCGGGACACCTGGGAGGCTCAGTCGGATGAGCATCTGAATCTTGATTTCAGCTCAGGTCATGATCTCATGGTTCATGGGATCAAGCCCCGCGTCGGGCTCTGCACTGACAGCATGAAGCCTGCTTGGGATTCTCTCTCCTTCTCTCTCTCTCTCTCCCCCCCCTCTCCCCCTCTAAGTAAATAATAAACTTTAAAGTGTCTTCCCAGGGCTCACATCCCTGCCCAGGCCATCCCTCTGGCTGGAGCCCCACTAGTGCAGTGCCCTATGCCTGGCCATGTGCCCGCCAGCAGCTCAGCTGTCAATGGAAGGGGAAAGAGGATGCCTTCCCTCGGTGGTAGATTCACTTGTGGGGCCCCGGGCAGGGCTGCTCAGGCCCCTGGATGCCAGTGAGTTACTGAGATGGCGTGCGGTTGACGCACACTCTCACAAGCTCAGGGCAGCTCAGGCAGTTGAGCTGGAGCGTCAGCTGCTCTTCTGGTCCTAAACTATCCTGCAAGCATGGCAGCCACGGCTGGCTGTGCTCTGGAGCCTGCCTGCTGCTGCAGCTAGGGGATTCCTGCCCCTCCCGAGGTTCTCAGACCTCTGATGGAGGCATCCCACACATACCTCACCCACATGACAGAACAACCAGCTTTCAGCTGCAACCCAACCAGTTTCCCCATCACTTGCAACCAGCTCAGTGCTCAGTACTAGCCTGCTTTAGCTTCCTTCTAAAGATGAAACGAAGCCCGGTAGGGTTCTGCAGCAGATGTAGAGATGGCACAGGCCGTAAGCAGTGGAACAAGGGCTCGAACCTACATCTCTCTCCCCAAGAGCTGGAGCCCCTTGTTATTCTGGCTCCAACAGGCTGCAAGTAGATGACCGTTACCCTGCCTGCCCTCCCCTCAGACATCAGGGAAAGGCTTACTCCACTTGTCCCGAGAGTGAGTTCCAGATACCCACTCCTGAGTAGGCAGACTAAGGGAGAGGTGGAGGAAAGGGGCCAAGCCAAGGGGCCGGTGAGTCTGGGAGCAGGGCCTGGAGGGGCACTGGGGCTGTCGGTGGAGAGCGGGACTAGGAAGGTCCGCCATCAGGGACTCCTTGCCCTGCTAGATGGGGCACTGGCACGGGCTGCCAGCTGTCATTGCCAAGTCAACCCCAGACAAGCTACAGAACTGAAAACAAACTAACAAGAATCAATTAGAGGCTTTCTGTTTCCAGTCTGGAGTACAAGGAGCTTGGAAGGCATTACTCCCACCCACAAAACACGAAAAAAATTGAACAAATTAAAAATCAACAGCTTTTCTTAGACCCAGCGGAGAATTGAGGTCACAGGGCAAACCTCAGCACCCTGGCTTGCCTGAGTGTGGCCAGCTCGGACAGCCAGCTGTGCTGTGTAGAAGCTTTTTATTTTGACGCGATCCCAATAGTTCATTTTTGCTTTTGTTTCCCTTGCCTCTGGAGATGAGTTGAGTAAGAAGTTGCTATGGCCAAGGTCAAAGGTTCTTCCCTGAAGAACATGGATGCAAAAATCCTCAACAAGATCAACAATACATTAAAAAATTATTCACAACAACCAAGCAAGATTTATACCTGGGATGCAGGGCTGGTTCAATATCTGCAAAATAAGTGTGACTCATCACATCAATAAAAGAAAGGACAAGAACCATATGATCCTCTCAATAGCCGCAGAGAAAGCATTTGACAATACAGCATCCTTTCTTGGTAAAAATGCTTAAGACAATAGGGATAGAAGGATCATACCTCGAGATTATAAAAGCTATGTATGAATGACCCAACACTACTATCATTCTCAATGGGGAAAAACTGAGAGCTTTCCCCCTAAGGTCAGGAACAAGACAGGGATGTCCACTCTTGCCACTGTTATTCAACATAGTATTGGAAGTCTTAGCCTCTGCAATCAGACAACACAAAGAAATAAAAGACATCCAAATCGGCCAGGAAGAGGTCAAACTTTCACTCTTCGCAGACGACATGATACCCTATATGGAGAACCCTGAAGATTCCACCGAAAAACCGAAAAACCGCTAGAACTGATCCATTGTAAGGGTAGGGCTAACCTGTAGCCTTAAGAAATAACAGCTTTGGGGGCGCCTGGGTGGCGCAGTCGGTTAAGCGGCCGACTTCGGCCAGGTCACGATCTCACGGTCCGTGAGTTTGAGCCCCGCGTCAGGCTCTGGGCTGATGGCTCAGAGCCTGGAGCCTGTTTCCGATTCTGTGTCTCCCTCTCTCTCTGCCCCTCCCCCGTTCAAGCTCTGTCTCTCCCTGTCCCCCCCAAAAAATAAATAAACGTTAAAGAAATAACAGCTTTGTTTGAACACTATAGGTTAAAGGATAACAGCTTTATCCTATCAATCAAGGGATGGATTAGCGCTTGATTGGATTGGGGCAAGGGCCTGTTTGAACTGTTTCCACCTGGGAACTATTCCTTTGTTCTGTTCCCAGGTGATAATAAGACGATGTGGTTGGCTATAAAAACTCTGTACCTCGGTTGTTCGAGACTGCACTCTGGTCAAGAGTGTCGGTCCCAATCGATTGGTTTGCCTTGCCTCTCATTGCAATAAACTTTGTTGGGACTGTCACTGGTGCCCGTAGCATTCTGTTTCAGGAGTCGTGTGGGTGCAACACCATGAATTCAGCAAAGTTGCAGGATATAAAATCAATGCATGGAAATCGGTTGCATTCCTAAACACCAACAATGAGGCAACAGAAAAAGAAATCAAGGAATTGATCCCATTACAATTGCACCAAAAACCATAAAATACCTAGGAATAAATCTAACCAAAGAGGTGAGAAATCTATACACTGAAAATTATAGAAAGCTTATAAACATGGAAAAATATTCCCTGCGGAGGCGGCACCTCCCTCCTGTGTTTTATCTCAGATACGGCTGTGTTTTCCAACCCTTCATTTCTGAGGGACTGCGGCTTTCACCCGTTCTGACCTTCTGTGAGAGGGTCTTACCAAGCAATGGCCAGGTGCCAGCTGTACCCAGGAACGTTTGAGGGACCGTGCTGTTGCTGATGACTAGAGACTGTGGCTGGGTGCCAGCCCGCCCCAGAAAAAGTTTACACAATCGCGTAGCAGCAGCGTTTCGGGGATTATGGAAAATCACAACACACATCTGGCACCAGGCTTCACCCTTAATGACCTTGTTGCAGCACCAGCAAATGTGGTTGTTCTCCCAGGTCCACTGGGGCCTTGTCTTTGGGGGAGCCACACAGCCTCTACCTGGTGTCCTCCCAGCAGGGGAACCACCTCTCCTCATCTGGCCCGAAGACCCCCGGACTTCACTCTGCTCCTGGGGATTCGCCCTTCTCACCAGAGCACCACCAGGTATCGAGCTGTGGTGTTTCAGACTCTGTGCTCCTCCTGTTTATAGAGTCTTAATGGAATTTCAACCCTCTC